GACTGTTGACTTCCTTGAGTATCCAGAATTTAGGCAGCGCTGATAATGGTGATCACCAAGACAGCATGGCAGGGTGTTCTCTTTTTCTAGTGAGCAATGATCCATTGCGTGCATGTGCACGTACACACACACACACACACACACACACACACACACACACAGAGTGTTTTTTCCATCCAAAGTAGCTGTGGCCCTTTAGAGAACTCCGGTTGTGTTTTGTGTTTTACCCCAGTGCCCACTGAGAACACAGCCTCTGTGACGCCCAAGACGGTACCCTTTTCTTGTCCCTCACTGGTACCTTCTTGTGCACCCTTTGGCTCCTGATGACAGAAGGGCTTAGGACAAAAGTCAAATTCAAATGATCTGGGAAAGAAAGTATTATCTTATAGGTTCTCCAGTCACAGACTTCACCAAAATCATTAGAGTGTCCTGTAGAGGCCCGAGATCAATCTGTCACTTCCTTTTTGCACAGGTGATTAGCAGGATTTTGGGAAGGGAGAGGTTAATCCCAAAAGCTGTCAAAGTACTCAGCAGAAAATAGCAAAGGGCCTGCCCATGAGGTATAGGTGAAGAATCAACCAACGCATGTGCGTGTTTTCAGATGCTAAGAGAGAGGAAGAAGGAGCCGTGCTTTGAGAAAATGAAAAGGAAATCAAATCTTGGATGTAATGGTAAGTCACTCACCCCTGCACAGTAAGGTAAATCCATACTAACACACATAAATTACACTGGGAGTGACACAATAGAATTTTTTTAAATTACCATGATATGTAAAGCAGCCCAGCCCTCCCTCTTGGTTTTTGTATTTATTTCTCCTAGCCAGCATGCTCAGTAGGCCTTTTTATCATCTCTGTTGTATCAGATGAGAAAACTGAGGAGCAGATATAGTCAGTCATTTGCCTGAGGTGCCCTAGTGAACAAAGGACAGTGCTCGGGCTTCACAGATGCCAGGCTACCCCTGAACACACACCAGAGGGAGAGGAGGAGGGCCCCATACCTGGGGTCATGTGAGGGACTCAGCAGGATGAAGCAAGACAAGGAAGCGAATGGCAAGGCTCATATGGAGGAGGGTGAGCAAAGGGCAAGACAAGGAGAGGAGAGGGGCAGGCAATAGAAAAGAACTTCTGCCTTTACTCAGGGCTTGCTGGCATTTTTGACTGAGTCACTTTTTTTGCCTATTTGGTCTCATATAATTCTCTCTGTCTGTCTCTGTCTGTCTATTTCTCTCTCACACTCCTTCCCTTCCTTCTTTGCTCAGATAAACCAGTCTCTCAGCATGACATACTCAAATTAATGTGCCTAGATGTGAAATGTAACTTTTCCTGTCTTCCTATTATCTCAGACTTTTAGCAGAGAACACCAAATGATTAAAATCATAGCTCTAATAATCCTAGGCAATCATTGCAAGACCTGTGGAGTAGGTGGAAACAGGACCCTAAACCCACATCTAGCTCATATAGGAAGGTCAAGCTGGTCAGAATAGCTACCATACACTGTGTACTCCCATCCTCACTCAGCCTCTATGGAAGAAGCTTCAAGGGGACCATTTGGGAGCTTGCCCTATATCCCCTGGAGTCAGAAGAGTAGAGAGACTGAGGAGTGACTCACACTGGCTGTGTGAAGATATATCCCAAGCAAATGTGTTGTAGACATCTGAAAGACCAAATCCAAATGAGAACCATCAAGGTAGACTTCAAATGCACTTAACCAGAACAGATCCCCTAGGCCTCCTGATTCTCCTGAAGGAAAAAGATCAAACTAAGTTCCAAGCAGTGACCTAACCTTAGTCCCACCGAACTTCTAATATCCAAGGTATCAAATGAAGGCAGCCAGGATAAACAGCCATGGGCTATGTGATTTTCCAGATCTATTTATCCAGACCTATTTGGAATAGGGAGAGATTCCAAGGCAAGGAAATTCCAGAAGGCCCCATCTGAGGAGCCAAGCCTTTGATATAAATTTCTGTCACTCCTCACTTCCCCATGCAAATATCTCATCACTCCATCCAAATAACTTTCAAAACCACAGCTTCCTCTGTGTCCACTGAGAAAAGTCTGTGCACTTGTACTGGGATAACAGTGTGCTAAGGACACACCCTCTCCCCATCATGTGGCAAGGAGGAGGCCTGGACCCATCAATGGCTCAGTTCAGTTTGCTCCTGGTGGTGAGGGAGGATCAAACACCAAAAATACTCATTTATAAGGGAAAAGCAAAAGAACTAAATATGTAGAACTTGGCCAAATGACGCCTGACGGGAGATATAAATACCCACAAGCACTTGGAGGGTGTAACAAAACACCCCAAAAAGGACTTCTGAAATGATGTTTCAAGTGGCTGTAAGTGGGGGAGACTGAGGGAAAGGAAAGGAAACTTCCTGGGCAAGGGCTACTCTAGAGAGCTGCTGCCAACACAGCCCTAGGCTGAATTTGTTCAGGACTCCCATGTCCAGTTCATTTCTTAGCTGGGCTTAGAAATACATGGCTGAGTGTTGTCCTTTGTGCCTGTACTTGCTCTGTGTTTTCAAGATGCATTTTGTTGCCTCTGTGTCTTGTTTTCTACGCAAACTCCCTACAGTGTGGTGTGGCAATGACCTGGTCTAGTAGCCTAACAGGGAAGCAGGTATGCATCATTTTTTGAGAACAAACAAATGAGTTTAGTAATGATGTTAGAAATAAGGTATGATGCTTCTTGGTCTTCTCGACATTCTCTTGGGGGGAAGATAGATGGGGTCAGCTGAATACCATCCAAAAATACATGTAGCAGTTCTCTCCTGAGACATGCTGCATGGCAAGTCATTCTGGAATTTCTAGATGGAAAAAAAATGTATATAGTGAGAACAGCTTTGCTCAGAGTCTTTCGACACTTTTAATCCCAGATGGGTTCAGTGCAAAAGTGAAAATTATGTATTTTTAAGGAGTGAAGAAATTTCAACTAAGGACTGGCTTGAATTTAAACTGAGATATAGGACTCTCTGTTACTTGACAGGTTTATAAGAAACTTTCCATAAGAACTACAAGGTCTTACCCAATTTGTATTATATGCAGAAGAACCAAAGTGGAAGTCAGCAGAAGTCAAATCCTCTTCATCATTAAACTATATGACAAATACAAAAATGTACAGTAATGTATGCAGCTTAGTTATTTTTTTCATTGCTGAGACAAAATATCTGACACCCAAAGTTAAAGGGGGAAAGGTTTATTTAGCTCGCAATTTGTAAAAGTTTCAGCCCATAATCAGCTGGCTCCAAGGCAGGGTGGATGGCAGATGGGGAAGAGTTCATGACAGCACATCTGAAAACAGCAAAAGCAACAAGCAATAGAGATCAAGAGAAAAACCTCTCTGTCTGTTACACTGTGTGCAGGATATCTGCCTTAGGGCTGGTATAGCACTTACACCCTTAATCTTAGCATTGAACCATGAATCAATCACAAACTATATATTCAGCCACCTCTAAAAAACCCACCCCCATGACCACATGAGGTTTGGGGGAACATTCATACGTATATTATAACAATAAATCAGAGAAAATCATAAACTTTCTGATTAAGGCATCCCTAAGTGGCCCAGAACCTTGCCTGCTACCCCGCCAGCTGAAGTCCTGAGCCCAGTCTTCCTCAGAGACCACTAAGGCATCTCAGTGGGCACCAGCCCTCTCCAAGAAGATTCTGAAAGACTCTGGATTTCATACTGTCTCAGGTCTTTTTTCATTCTGATTCTTTATGAATTTAAGTGGCAGCAAGTGAAGAAACAAGCTGGGCAGCAGTGACAGGGTCAGTTCTCAAGACTGTGACAAGCAACAGATTACAAAGACTGAGGACTCCATGGTCTGTTTCTACTAAGGTTCAAAATCTAAAGAAAATAAATCCAGGATAGATCGCTATGATGACAGCAGTGAGAAAGTTGACATTCTAAGTCCTCCCCTCCTTCCTTCCCCCATACCATCTTCCTCACACTCTGCAATCAAGGCCCAGCGCACTCAGAGATCTGATGTGATAACCCACTGGATACAGGAAGGAAGGCATGGTCAGTAGCTGAAACCAAAGGAAGCAAGCAGTCTTTAAACCAAGCACAGAGGACAAACCAGGAGGGAGCTCACAATTTTGGGTGCCACATACGCAGGTGTGAGTGTGCTGGGAAGAGAGGTGGGTGCCTGCGGGAGTGCAGAGCAGAGAAATGCACCCCTGAAAACACCCCTGCCCGTCACCCCTGGTTTCACAGGAGAAAGGATGGTGTGCAGTATCTGGCATGTTCTGGTCATGAACTTCGGCTTTGGAGTTCTGTTTCCAACTCTGTGCAACCTGTTATTTATGTGATCTTGGGTAATGTATTCAGCCTCCTAAAATTCAGTCTCCTTATTTGGAAGCCATAGATAATGATCCTATCTGCTTCACCGGGTTCTGCTGAACCAGGCCAGGATTCTGTCCTGAAGCACTTCTGCAGAAGCTCACTCCCCCTGGCAGGCTCCTGCCACAGAAGCTCAACTGCCTTCATAGCACAAACGTCACCTTGTGTGACCACCAGGTTTACTAGGATCGCCCTGCCCTAGGTACTCTCTAGCATATCACCTTGTTTTATTCCTTTATGAATCATAATTTTTAATTATCTCAAATATTAATCTGTGTATTGTCCACCTACCCCCATCTACACTATAAACTCCATGAGATCAGTGGTTATTTTTGATACTCAAGTTCAACACAATAATTAGTTCATACAAATCTTTTGAATTAATAAATCAATAAAAGTATTACCAGCTAATTGCTGCTGATCCTCACAACAACTCAGAGCCAAAAAAAGAATATTATTTCTTTCATAGAAAAGCATGAGGACTGCTAATCCCAATTTATAGAGCTTCAAAACAGTTAAAGAATATGCCCAACGTTATCTAGTTACTAAAGCAGAACCAAGATAGAAACCGATTTTTCTCCTCCAAATTCTCTTCTCTCAAATACTAGATTATTCTAAGACAGAATTCCCTTGCCTGAAGTTTCATATTCACTCACAACTCCTGCCTGGCTCCTAATTGCATGTCTCAGACAGCAATCTGTGGGGAGCAGCTGAAGCTGGAGATCGATCACACATGTAGGGTGGGGGCTGAAGCAAGGCCAGTCAGGAGAACAAAGAGCCCCTGAGGCGAGCCACAGGAACAGCTGCTCCATCTCCCAGAACTTGAGGTTCCCCAGGGTTATCATGCAGGCAGGTCGCTAGGCAGAGGGGTGTCACATGACATCAACCTGTTGAACATATAAATAAAAGCACTGTGGTGATTGAGCAGTTCTTTACCTCCCAGCCAGAGAAAGGGCTCCGACTGACCGCAGCTTTCTGTATTCTGACTCTTATCTTTACTTCTTCATCCTCCCATGACCACTCCCCTCCAACTTCAAGAGCTGCACTGGACACAGCAACAGTCATGTTCAGCCTTCAATTCTACATTGCCTAAACAGCACTAATGGAAAATCCTGTAATGAATAGGAAAACTCACTAATCTATGAATGTCACAGCACATTTATCCCCTGCAGTCCCCTCCTGCTGACCCTTTAAGGGTCTTTGCTGGAGGCAGAACACAGAAGATATTCTTGTGTCATCAAATAACACTTTGAAAAATCCAAAGAGAATTATTTACGATTACCAAATAGCAAAATGACTAGTGGTCATTTGAATATCACCAAACCCATAAGAAGTGCTCACATGGAAAATGTTATTATATTTGGAGAAGAAAACAGAAGAAACTGAAAAGAAACATTAAAACCTTAGAGACTGATTAATGGCTCACTGTGATGTCATTTTTGAGATTATGTAACGTTTATGAGTACTGCTTGCTTTAGTGCTGTTAGTAATTGAGCACTTTAGTATTTGTAAGGTTCTTAGCCATCAGGCCCACCAAAATATAAGTAACCATAAATAATTTCTTCATTTTTTGGATCTATGTTCTACCACTGACAAGGAATAGAAACTTTTTAAACACAGACCATTGGTGGGACCAGGTTGTAAACACTATTGCCCTGGTCAGGGCACCAGTAATAGGGAGCCTTGCCCTTAAAAGAGCAAATCACAAAATAAGCAGCTGTTACTGATTAATCAATCATATGCATGTTGGGAAGAGGGCAGCTCTGATACCTAGGTGGAAAACATTTAACTAGAGAAAGCTTCCACATTACTCTTTTACTATGGAAGGGTAAAATAAAAATCTGTTTGTGCTCAAAATCCAAAAGGCATACTTAGTCACTGTTTAAAAAGTAAATAAAATCTCATTCTTCCAGTGAAAAATAGTATCTTTATCTTTCTGAATTCCTTCAAAATCTATATTTAATTCCATGTTGAAAGAAGTCAAACTGGGCATTTTAAAGAAAATAAACACACACAGTCCAATGGGAAACAATTTTGTACAAATATGGTCACAAGTAGGCTTCACATATGCATATCCTATAGATCCCACCACAAAATACACTACCATCTCAATTAAATGGGTGTTATTGTTTGTGTCTGGATGCCCCCCACCAAAAGCCTCATCAGTCACGGGGGAAGGCTTTTAAAGTTCACGACTGGTTTATGGTCCAATGCTAGGATTATGAGTGTTATACTTGCCATGGGGCAGGTAGCTTGTATAAAATATAAGGGAGGGAAAGAGGCTTGTTCTTCCCCTTTTTGCTCCTGTTACTTTGTTGTCTTCTGCCACTTGAAGGGTTGCCCTAGTGCCACACCATACTGCATTGGCTGATTATGGACTGGAACTTCCATAAATTGTGAGCTAAAAAACTTTTTTATATATATCAGATATTTTGTCCCAGCAACAAGAGAAAAGTAACTAAGACAGAATTTGGTACCAAGAGTGGGATTGTTGCTTTGACTGTACCTTTGGGAATGGCTTGTGGGAAGAGTTTGGAAAGGTTCACAGATGTCACCTGAAAGAGTTGCACTGGAATACCTTAGGCTACTCCACATGGGAGATTATGGTAATAGCTTAAAAGACCAGAAAGCTGACAGAAATCCTGCCAGTAAAGACCAGACTCAGGAGGTTTCTGTTGGGAAGAACTTCACTGGATACTGTACTCCAGGTGATGTCTGTTATGGCTTGGCAAAAAGTTTGTCTACATTTTGCTCATGTTCAGAGACATTGCCTGAGACTGAGATAAAGGGAAGTGGACTAATTTATCTGACAAAAGAAATTTCAAGGCAGTCAAATGTTGAGGCAGTGACATGGCTGTTGTTGGGGGCTTTTAGTCAAATTTAACTTTTGATTGCAAATCAAAAACAAAGAACCCAACAAAATGATTTAAAATGTTTCAAGTTTGGTCAGAAAAAAAGCTATGGACTGTAAAGATAGAGCTGAGATCTTGACTTCTGAAAAGGAACAAAAATATAAAAAAGATGGCCTGGATACATCACAGGAAGCAACGGGTTTCTACCCTTCACAGCCTCAAAACTGAAGAAATGAAAGACTGCTTATAGGGAAAGCCACAAAAAAGCACTGTGTTCTAGAATGGCAGCAGTAGCCACACACAAGGTTCCAAAATGGCAGTGGTTGCACTGGGTTCCAAAATGGTGGCATAGAAGATTTTTTTCCTCATAATCAGGTTCTGAGTGCTCAAAAATCCAGGAACTAGGCTCCTACATCCAAGAGAGAGAAAATCCTGGCTACTACTCCAACTGGCAGCAGACCTCAGCATCATTCATGTGAGGCTGGTTTTAGGTGCGTACAGAATGCAAGCCTTCTGTGGTTAAAAGGTTTCCACTCTGATTTCATAAGGCCTGGGAGGCCAGGCAGGGTACCCCTGGGAGGGCAGTGTGTGACACTGTGTGTGAAGCCAAAGGTGCAGTGGAAAACCCAGAAGTTTGGAAAAGCCAGAGCATGGGTTGACTAAGAAAAGCTGCAAGAAGAGAACAAAATGGGCCTAAGAGAGAAGCTGTGGGAGCTACAACCACTACAAGTACTGTAGGGGTGGAGTTACATAAGCCCTTTCGAGCTCACAATCTGCCACAGATTGTTTCAGATACTGGATATACAACTATAGACTTAAAGTTTGCCTTGTTAGACTTAGGACTTGCTTTTGTCCCAATCCTTTGTATCATACCATTTGTAATTTTTGGAATGAAAATGTTTATCTTGTATCATTAAATGTTCAAAATGTTTAAATTTGTTTTCATTTGTACACGGACTTGCAACTAAGAGTTTGCCTTACATCTCAGAGGAGACTTAGGACTTGGACTTTCAGTAATGTTGAAACTGTTAGGACTTTGGCAACTCTTGAAGATGGACTAAATGTTTTGTACATAAAGCATATGCTTGAGTTTTTGGGGGGGCCAGGAGTGGAATATTATGTTTTGTATCTGAATGTCCCCCCAAAGCCTCATGCAGTTATGGGTGCAGGCTTCTAGAGTCTGTGATTGATTCACAGTCCAATGCTGGGATTATGAATGTGAGTGCGACACACTCACTGGAGAAGGGGTATCTTACACACAGTATAACAGAGAGAAAAAGGCTTACTCCTCCTTTCCCCCTCCCTGTTTTGTTCTTGTTGCTTTGCTGTCTTCTACCACTTGAAGTGTTGCCCTGGCACCATGCCACCCAGCCTTGGAGCTGGCTGATTATGGACTGAAACCTCCACAAAATGTGTGCTAAATAAACCCTTCCTTCCTTAACTTTGGGTGTCAGGTATTCTGTTCCAGCAATGAGAGAAAAGTAACCAAGACCAGTTGAAAAAAAATGGCAAATATCAACTCCAGTATGCTCTAACAGTGTTTTTCAAAATGTGATCTTTGAGTCACTTTTATCACCAATACCCGGAAGCATACTATTTCCCTCCTTCCCTTCTCATCTGCAAATTTATCTGAGTCTGACTTTCCTATATCATTAACCTTAATGTCATAGTAAACTGCTCCTTTCCTATTTAAATGCTATTCTTTCTCCTATTTTGTATATCACAAATCTTCCTGATTACAAACTAATTTTGAATCCCTCAAAATTTGCATGTCAAACTAAGCCCTAATCCCCAGTATTTTGGTATTTGAAGCTGAGGCCTCAGAGAGGATGTACAAATCTGTAAGCCTCACTTTATAGATGGAGTTCTAGAATTACATGGAGAGCAGCCATTACTATGGCACAAAGACAATCCTTCCTCCCATGATTTTGCATTCTAAAGTTCAAGAACCACTAGATTATACAAAGGAGGACCTGAATAAGACCAAGGCTTCTCACCCTACACAGTGTAGAATCTGACAGAGACAGCAGCAAATTGGGGTAAGAAATGGGGGCAGGTCCAGATATGGACAAATAATGGATATTATTTCCAATTTGATGAAAGCAAAAAGGGAAACACTGGGTAAAGTAGTCAGAAATATATCCTACAGACATATTGTTTCACTGTTTTTTAATCTTCTTTCCTCAAGGTAAAGAGGAGATTTTTCAAGCTTCTTTGAGGAAAGAAGAAGAAAAGATGAAATATGATTTCCTTCTACTGAAAGGAATACACATATATTCATTTCACTTAGAAAAGCTAGCACATTTAAAGAAAAGCAAATTTGGAGACATAAGGAAACTGAATTGAGTTCTGGACATAGATTTATGTATGTATTATTATGTAGCACTTCAGTCTGAGCAGTATAGGATTCTTAACTAGAATTTTCCTGTGAACAGTCTCAAGATCAAGAAGAGATCTGGAAACAATATATAATGATACTAGAAGCCTTCAGTATAGAGACTAGAATGGCAAAGAAAGAGTAAGCACTGAACTTTTGGGGACATCAAAAAGAAAATTTCTTAGAGTTAAGTAATGGATAATGATCTCCAGGAAGAAGAGATGACAGAATTACATGATGGAAACCAAGGAAAAATTGCCCCCCAAAAGGAAGATCATTATTGTCAAATATAAAAAAAGAGTGAGGACATAATACAAGTCTAAAATGTAGCTACTAAAATTATGAGCTCATCTAAATATAATCACCTCTCAGAGACTTTTACTCCAAATACCATCACACTGGGGATTAGAGCTTCATTTGACATACAAATTTTGAGGGATTCAAAATTAGTCTGGAATGAGAAGGGTTTGTGATATAAAACAAAGGAGAAAGAATGGCATTTAAACAGGAAAGGAACATTTTACTGTCACATTAGGGTTAAGGACATAGGAAAACAGATTCAGATAAATTTGCAGATGAGGAGGAAAGGAGAGAAATAGATAAGCTCACACCAAATAACCTCAGTTTTCCCTATGAAATACAAAGGGTATCTGTTGAAATGGAAGATGATGGGATTAGGAGAGCTTGAAAAGACCAGAAGATGAGGAATGGCTCATACAGCACATGGGAAGAAAAACTGACCACAGATAAAGGAAATGAACAGGCTGGTGAATCGAGTCCCTGTTAAAGTTTGGAACCAACTCTACACTCCATCAGTGGACTAGATGACAAGGTTCTGCAGTTTCTTCTAGCAGCTTAGTGAATGCAAGTAGAGAAGGTCATCTCACTGGGCACCTGAAGTTGAATAGAAGTGAAGGCTATGGCAAACAAGAAAGTTGTATAATTTTAAATGAAAATATTAAATTGAATTTGAAGGTAACCAAAATTTGGAATAAAAATAACCTGTAAACCAGGTGAAGCTAACATTTATGACAAAACAAAAAAAAAGTGAGGAAAGAAAAATAGATAGATTGCATACAACCCAAAGAAAAAAGGACTTCTAAATGGGCTTTCATGAGAAATGGCATAGTGTGACATAAGGACATGGAAAGCTCTCCTTGGCTCTAGGCTGCATGGTATCTTAAGGAATGACATCATTCTCCTCCACACAGCTCCTGGGGAGACAGCTTCTGCACAGGAGCATGTTTCATTTAAAGCAAAAAGTAAAAGAGAATGCCAAGTAAAGAGAAAATTAAATTAAAATGAATTAATATATGAAAATTAAAATAAAATGAACTCAGCCGGTTAAGAAGTGATTAAACCATGGGAAATGGGTCCAGGAAGAGGGAGCCTATGCAAGTGAGTATGGGAGTTCAAATGTTGCCCTTGTTCTTAGTCCCAATTCATTTGATTCTTGCCAACTTTCCACCTGTGGTGACCTCCCAGCTTTACCCCACTGTTGCCCTGTAACACAATCCACTGTGGCTTCCCAGCCACTCAGTAGTGCAGACCCAGCCCAGCCTTTGTGCACCAGGACATCATTTCTGACATTCTCAAATGCTGAGTCCCACTCTTCACCTGCCAGACTTCCTTAACCTGTGCACCACGGTCTAAACCCCTGACTATATCTCCTACCTCTTCCCTAGAGTATGATCCCGGTCTCTGATCAGATTCCTCTGAAACATGATACCACTTCCAACTATCAGAGGCCTGCCTCAGCCTGGCTTCCTACAAACACATCTTTATGAGTCTTTTCATGACTTTACACACCTTCAAAAAGGCTCAAAGTATGCTCTTGCTGAGCCTGATGAGATGGAGTTCTTTGCTGCACATCCAACTTCCTTCAAATATTTTGCCTTTCTCTCTTTTATTTGGTCTTCTGGCACCAATGGAGTGAAGATTTCACCTTCATACTGATTATGAAATTGAAGGAGTACCGGTAAGCCACTCTGTTAAGATCAATCAAGTACAAAATGAAATTTAAGGGAAGTAACCAGGAGATTTAATTGTGTGATTGTGGAAAAGGTAATGGCTGAGTATAATCAGATAAGCTTTAGGGAAACATGCTTTCAAATCAGAATGATCACATTGTCTAAGACTCTTCATAGAGAAGAAGGAGAAAAATTAGGAAACTTCTAAAAAACTAAATTTCAACCAGACAATTACAAATGCACATCAATGCACAAATAAGTAACTCATGAAAGAAAACTACAAATAACCATAAGCATGAAAAATATTTGATATTATTAGCAATCAAAGAAATGCAAATTACAATAATTAGACTACTTTTTACCTAGACAATTGGCAGAAATTTTAAAAATGCAAGAAAATCAGCAGTGATATTCTTAAATGCTGCTGGGGAGAACACTGTCATCTCTTTTTTGGAAAGAAAATTAACAAAATGTGTCAAAACTTTAAAATATTTTCTAATCAGTAAAAATAATGTTTTGGAAGAATGATCGACATGGGAAAAATCATGGCATATTAATAGGTAATAAAGTTTGAAAAATTTCCTGTGTGTATATAATCCCAATTTTGTGATAACAGATGTCTAATTATATACACCCATATACACATAATATTTGTGTAACTATTCATAGAAAATGACTGGGAAGGCATGAAGCAAAGTGTTTGTATTTATTATCTTTGAGTCATAGAGTTACAGTAATTTTTCTTCTTGACTCTACTTTCAAATTTTCTGTAAAGTTTAACTTCTGTGTTCAGAAGAAAATATGTTTAAAGTTGATTCTTTAAAAAGAAAGGCAAATTCACAGCCCTAGGAAAAAAGATAGGAGGAAAAAATATCTGCAAAGAACAATACATATGCAAAGGAACTTTGTGAACACACTCAGGCCTATAAAACGGATTCAAATGACGGAAAAGAAGACACACCCAGACAAGAATATAAAAGGTAAAATTCAGCAACAGGAAGGGCCAAAGCTAAGGGTTACATGGAATAGAGTCATAATAAAAGAGACCATATATATATGTAGTATATATCTTCTGAAATTGGTGGAATAAATTCAACTAAGAGGATGTTAAAGTCTAAGATCAGTGAAGAGATCATGAGATAGTGCTTAACTGTTCATAATCACTACATATTCTGGCTCTGACATGCCATATATACCTTTTGTGACACTCTTCAGATGAAATGAGCATGGCCCGCAATCAGTGACTAGCCTCAGAGAACCGAAAGAGGCATTGGAAGCAGCCAGCCCCATCTTTAACCAGGAGAAGGAATCTACAAGCAACAAAATGGCAAATGTGAACATTATACTGGCAATAGTCCAGATTTTTTCTTAATACAATAGCTATTCATCTCACAGACTAAAAAGCATACAAAATATTTTCTTGGCTTTTTAATAACATAATTTCTCGATTTAAGCCCTAATTTCCAAGCCAATGGGAAAATTTATCCTCAGTCCTGGGACTGTTTTATGATCCCTGAATTGTCTATACAGCCACAGTAGGGGAGAAAGACCAAGGTATGGGGCAAGGTAGTGGGGTGGGTAGGGAATAGGCTCCCCAGTTTCCTCTCAGAAATTCATTGTCTCTGATTGGTTCAAAAATGATAATATTTTAAGAGAGAGGAAAAAAATAAAGCAACACTGTTCACTGATAATTAATCCTGCTAGACACGTTTTATTGCATAGTTTTAATAGTAATACAATCTTAGTATCTCCAGTGTATCAAGATTTCAATGGAATAATTTACAAGGCTTTTATGATGTTTCTGACAAAGTAGATAAATGTGGTCTGGATGCCAGCACAGTCAATATATTCATAATCTAGTTCATCATGATAAAAGATGAGAGGCAGTCTAACACAGTTGCTAAGAGCACAGATTCTGCAGCCTGTTTGTCTAGGTTTAAATCTCCTCTATTTCACTTCTAAATGAGCCCAAGAAAAAGTACATTAGCTTTCTCTACCTCAGTTATAAAAATGCGAATAATAGCAATTTCAACATAGTGATGGGATGATTAGTTTTCACCAAATATCTGGTGCTCTGCTATATCTGTCAGCATCTAAGGTAGGTCACATTACCAATAAATAAGGTAGGTCACACTGAGATGTGGATGGAAGTAAGGAGAGCCTGGATTTTGCTACTTTGGGAAGTCACTCAGTCCCCATTGGGATATGATGCAGATGAGAAGTTAGCATTCCTTGTGCTAAGCTGCTGAGACTTTGAGGTTTATCTTTTGAGGCAGATGAACCTGTCTTACAGGACAGATGGGAAAACAATGAAACTTATCTGCCATATAAAGTACACTCAATAAATGAAGATAATATTTGCCATCATCAACCTTGTTGGAAAGAACGTTTAGGCTTCAGAGAATTTGGAATAAGTCCTAAATTGCTGCATACTAGTGGTAAGAAGACATTTTATCTCTTAAGACCTCATTTGATAAACAGAGAAAATGTTTGCCTCTAAGACGCTTGTGAGGATTAACACAGAGTTATAAAAATATTTTAGGAAGCGGTACACAAACGTCAAATATTTTTACCAATGACTGTTGCATCATTTCTAGGCACTCACTACTACTCACTACCATGCTTCTACCAGAGCATCCTTTTAGGAGCACACACCCCATCCCATCCTGGCAGGGCGGGTCATGTGACTTGCTTCAGCCAATAGTATGTGAGCAGAGGTGCAATATTTGCATTCCAGCAGGAGCTTTAAGAACTATTATGTGTAAATTAGTAACATCTCTTTGACAAAAGAAAACCATATCTTCTCCTTCCAAATTGGGACTTCTCCTTCCTTCTGGCCTACAATAAAGGTGCTAAGACTAAGGAAACAATATCCTAAAGTGAAGGCCTTACAAGTCGACTCAGAAGCAAAATTTCTGTTTCCTGTCCTCTCCTAAGGCAAGCCACAGAAAACAGACTTTCTTTTCCCTAAGGCAATCATAGAAACTAGAATCCCCTTTTTCCTAAATCCAGCTACAAAACCTAAAAGTATTACTCTAATCTTCCCCCACCTTTCTATTTGGAGCTGGCCACAGAGAAATTTTTGACCTACCTTGTCTGAGAGTAGATTATAAAACCCCATTTCAAAAGGGGTCATGTGCTATACTCAGGAAGAAGAAAGGCTGTACAGAGAAGCCAAGAGGAATACAAACAGATAGGCCTGGCCATTCAGTCCATTAGTATTACATCACATCATATTTCTCATCATAGTTCTACATGGCTGTCCATGCTTCATCAAATATTTGGTATAAAAATGAATTGTTCACCCTGTTTCTGAATATTTAACCTACAAGATTCCCAGGTCATATAAAACTTGTTCAGAAAGATGTGCCATGCTTTTTTCTCTTGTTACACTACCTTTTGTTACAGAGATTTCAGCCATGAGCCCTTCTGATAGAAGGAAAAGGGTCAGCATCATTTCTGCTCCACAAAGACAAGTAGAGCAGAGCAACAGCAGGACTATAGTCAGCACAGATTGCAATAACCTCTTACTGGAAGCACTAAGACTTGGTTATTGGGTTTTTTTTTAAGTTTAAGGAGGATAAAACAGAATAAAACCAATCAAAACAAACCAGTATGATACAGGACTTTGAAACAATATGAAGTCAACAATAGTTACCATAATGACTCTTGTTGTCTTCAAAATAGCTGCCCATACCTTCAGACATACTGAAAAGCAAACAGAATGGAACAGAATAGAACCAATAAAAATAAAACAATGAATGCAATGAAGGACTTTAAAACATGACAACAGTAAATCCAAAATGGCTACCATAATATATCTTGCTATCTTTGAAATGGCTGCTTACACCATCAGATATAACAAGATCAAACAAAACAAAACAGAAAAAAACCAACACAACAAAAGAATGAAAATGATACAGGACTTCAAAACAAGATGATAGGGAATTAACAATGGCTACCACCTTCAGAAGGCAATCCCCCTAGATGCCACCCTTCACACTGCTGTCCTCTCAATAGCTATCAGGGCAGCCTGTGTTTCTCTGGATCACTCTGTTGCTTATGGAGCTGGGAGGGGATTGGGTCTTCTTGTTTGTCAGCCTACACACCAGAAGGGGTTGAGGTCTGTCTATCTCCCTGCCAGCAGCAGCCCACACACGGTGCAGGTGCTGGTTCGCAGGGAGAGCTTACTTCTTGATGAGTTCTCTCCCGCCACACTGCACAAATGGCGCTGACTCATGGGGAAAGATTTGAATCAGGCTGTCCTTCTGCTGGTGGTAGCCCACACAAGGCGCTGGTTCCCAGGGAGGGCTTGCTTCTTGGTGAACCCTTGTTACCTCCCTTTACAGACCACAAATGGCCAGGTTTGGTTATTGTTACTCTACATGACATAGGTTAGCTTTTGATAAACTGAATATTAGCTAAATTGAATCATCTAATAGAGTAATGTTAATATAGACAGAGGTGCCTGACAAATTTGGTATAATTTTTTTAAAAAACTTTTCTTTCAATAAATTATTTGCAGGAGGAAATAGTGCAAAAGTGTATATGTGACAAAGTCCTGAGGTTAACAGCTAAAGTTTACATGACAGACTCAAGACCTAAAAAGAGAAGATGTCACTTAACTAGGAAAAATAAATTCCTTAACACAATATAGGATACAGAAGATAGTAGTTCTCCTAAAAGTCATGAACCAAAGATAAAGAAAGAATATAAAGAAATGGTTTCCCTGCCCAAAGTGAAATGCAATGTCCCATGTAGCTTCAAATATCTTCACAATAGTGAAGATACTTGAATTTATTAGGTCTAAAAGTGTATATCTTAACTCAAAGACTTTTGGGTTTAGTTTAACTCCAAAATAACAGTGATTACTTTGCATCAGACACCTGTAAAGTTTGTAGGAGAGGACGGTAGCAAAACCTAGGGAAAGGAAAATCAGGAGACCAACACCATAGACAAGTTTAAATACTTCAATTTAAATATTTGAAAAGTCTATCTTCTAGAATAAACGTTAGAATTATTCTGCAAGACTTTGACATGCAAAGCAAAGAAATGGGGAGTGGGAAAATGGGGATTTTTCAATAAATTCCCACCCCTTAAATTGATTGGGATGATTAGGATGTGCTGGGGAGCAGATCCAAGTATGAATACAAATAGGAGTCAGTCCCAATGATGACAGAGTCACTTCTGAATGTGGAGAATCAAAACCAATTTACAGAGGGCAAGACTGGCTTTAATCTAGTGGGATGCTCAGGGAGATGATTTATAATTCACAATTGGCAATTCTTGTTGGAAAATAAATTCCACTTATCAATAAGTGTAAAACTAGTATTATTGAAATAGATTCTACTACCACAAAGGGGCAACCAGGCTCATTCCCCCACAAGCTGGACAGCCAGTGTGGATTTAGAATGAGAAATGGTCTGTTTTGTGATGAGAGAGCTTTCTTTCCTATGTCAGCAAAAGAAAAACACATCTTTGGCAAACTGTCTGCTTTAAACCTGACATTTCTGTTTTTTATTTCTCTACAACAGAGTGGGGTGAGGGGAAATAAGGCTATGAAAATACAACTTGTCCCAACTGGTAAAAGAAAATCAAGTGGCCAATATAAATATTATAAGATGAGACTGAGCCAGAAGAGAAATGAGAAGAAAAGATCAATTTTTCCCAAAAGGTTCTCTCCAAATAAAAGATCAAGCAAAGGATAGCCTCAGATGCATCATCACAAGCCCAAGGAGAGCTTTCTTTAATCAGGAAATGCTGGCTCCAGGCACACACGCGAGCAGCTTCCTCCTCACCTTTAGCATGTCATTTTCTGAAAAGTTAGAAGACAAGGGCTTCCTTCATGACCAGATTAAAAAGCAATATACACTTTAAATGGCAGCCCCAGTCGTATTCACATTTCTAAGGTTTTCTCCTCTTCCTCTTATAAATCTCACCCTGTATTTTCTCCTGGGGCCATCTCTCTTGGTTTTATGGTTCTAACTAACCATCGTCTTTTGGCTCACCATTTCTAAATCTAAATCTGCCCATCAGATCCCCCAAAGGAATTAAAGACTCTATATCCTATTGCTTATTAAATAATTAACCCTGAGTCTCCTCCTGACTCTTAGTTTAAAATGTCCAAACATTCCCATCTCAGCAAACAATAAATGCTCAAGTCCAAAATCCAGAAGTCTGACTCCTTATTTTGTTTATTCTTTATGTGTTAGTCGGCTTTTCTGTTTCTGACACAAAATATTCAACATCTACTACTGAAAAAGAGATACTTAACTTTAGCTGATAGTGTGGGGTGATTTAGTCCATAATCAACTGGCTCCAAGAGAGAAATGCTGCACCAGGTGAGGGTCTGGGGACCTAGGGGTCTCCTGTGGCACAACTGCCTTTCCTCTGGTCCATGTCTTCCCTCTGCAAAGGAATGCAGGATTGAAACAAGGCTGACTCAAGCCACAGATCCCACAGCCATCACAGGATGAGGACCATGGAAATGAAACCAGTGCGAAGCAGACATTTGCTTATAAGATGGAAAAGGCAGAGATAAAGCTGCCGACTGATAAACGACAGGTAAGGCAGAGAGAGCTTGAAAGAGCTTCTCAAAAGGGGTCTTTGATTTGCCCATTCTTATAGGGTAAACTGGTCTGGGATGAGTTACAAATTATGGGGTCTTCCCTGATTGGTGCACTTTATGCCAGTCAAGACCTTTTCCTTTGTTGCTGGAGTGACCTGTTTCTGAAGTGAGCTGCTGTTAGGGTGAGCTAAGGTGCATGAGGTCTAGGGGCTTTCCAGTGAATTCATGAGTGGGTCTCTAAGAATAATCTTTCTACATCTGCAAAGGTTTCACAAAGGGCAATTTCTAGTAAGCAGGTGATCATTTCTACAGTCATCAGCCATGCCATTTCAGTCACTTTACATCCTACATCCCTGCCTACTCTCCTTATGATTGTCCCTGCAGAACCATCGTAGCAGAAGAGCAACAGAACTATTTAGTTTATGATGGGGAACAGAATGGGGAACAGTGATAGGGAAGAAGGAGCCAGAAACCACATATAGTACCATTGGCCTCCCCATGACTTACTCAGCCATACGTAGGAGCATGCGCCACTAATCCAGCTGAGCATTTCTTAACCCCATGAAGTTGACATGCCAGAATTAACAATCACACCTTATTTTCCTCTCTTCATCAGCCATTTTTACTCTGCCTCTCTCACCTTCCCTTCCCCATCCCTATCCCCAGGCAAGTCCTGGTCATTGCATCTCCCAGGCAGTTCTTACCACCCTGCCTAGCACCATCTTAGTGCTGCCACCAACCACCCCTCTCTTGCTTATTCTAACAAGATCCCAACTGGTTTTAATGATTTTAATCTCACACTCTCTAATCTGCTTTCCACACAAACGTTCAGACTAATCATTCTAAAACTGTAAACCTGATCTTACTCGACAATTAAAAACCCTTCAAAAAAATCTCTTTGCCATCAGGATGAACTTAAAAGTCATGAATACAGAATAGAAAACCTTACATTTCAGTATATGCCTCTTCCCCAGACTCTCTCCAACTAGACTCCTACACACACGTGCACACGCGCGCACACACACACACACACACACACACACACAGACACCTTTACATGCAAAAGCCTCCATCGTAAGTCACAGAATTTAACATATTCTTTTTTATTTTAAAAAGCAAACAGAAAAAAAATAGGAATAATACATAATTTTTTTAAAAAGTAAGAAATCAACACTAGTTAATATATTGCACAATGTTATCTTAGTGATATTTCTATACAATGGAATATTCCTCAGCTACAAAAAAAGGATAATCCTGTGGTAAATGGAGGCAACTTGAGCCTGTATTTATAAGTGAAATAAATCAAACTCTCATTTATAAATATCATATTGTCTCCCTAGTGTGAAAATAATAATAATAATAAAATGCAGAAAGAGTAATAAGATCCAAAATGTAAAATAGATTTTCAATAATGAAAGAGAAAAATATTCTTTTTAAAGTTCTTCACCTTTGTACATTCTGCTTCTTTTATGTGGAAAGCCCTTCTCTTTGGTAACCCATGCAATAATTTCACTGGTACTGGAAATGTAGATCCATGGGGATCCTAGCAGATCTTGTGGATGTCCTTCCTCCCTGCCCCACATCCCTCAGATTTCCACAGACTGCCCCCCTACACACAAATGACACTCCACATCTCACTGCTCCGCCCACTTGGCAGGGACTTCCCAGGGTTAGGAATTACTGGATTTATTTTTTTCACCTGTCTTGCTTGCCCAATGGACTCCAGCTGAGCTCCACTCTGTCTATAGTGCTTGGTGGAACTGCGTGCTCTCTCCCCACAACAGAAGCCTGCTCACAAACTCTCCTAGCCTTGGCTTCTCTCCTTTCCCTCTCTCACTGTCCCATTCACTTATCACACTGCTTGAGATTTGCTCTCAGATAAACTCTTCTCACCTATGTCTTTGTCACAAACCCTGCTTTTGGGGAACCCCCCCCCCAAAAAAAGATTCCTTTAATTTCTTTGAGGTTAGGTCTGGATTTCATAGCATTCAAGGCAATATTCATACTGATTTGCTGGTTTAGGTATTTCTTTGAACAGAAAATGCCTTGAAGTCAGATTTGTTATCTCCGTTTTCCCAGCACCCATACAATGGGGTACCACCGTGACTATTACACAACAGATATATATCACTTAGTGAAGTAATTAGATCTCACCTGGCCTTCTTATTTTTCATTTCTTATTACCCAAGTCACTCAACTGATAAATGAAAAGAAAAGAAAAAGAAAACTGTTTTCAGAGTCAGGAAAACCTGTGCTCTACTTGTATTACCAATTTCATACTTCGACTAAGTAGTTTATGAGTTCTCTTTGGTTTCTTAAAGTCATGACAAGCTAGGTAACTTTGCTAAATAAATACTAAGGCACATTAAAATAGTAATTGCCAATAATTTTATGATTCTCTTGACCAATGATTCTCAAATTTGGCTGTTATCAACATCTCCTAGTTCCAAACCAGTTGAATTTAAGTTCCAAGGACAGGATGTAGGAATATATATTTAGGACTTTTTAAAATTGTAATATGATCAAAAACAATAAAATACATAGGAAATAAGTGTTCTGTTCGATGTGCTTTGGAAACTGCATTCATCCACATAACCACTATCCAGACAGGACAGAAAATTTCAATCCAAAAGGAACATTCAAATCATCCAATGATGATTTCTCTCATGCTAGATTTATTGTACATCTTACTGGGCTTACTATAAATGGAATCATTAACTATCTGTATACCCTATTGTGTATAATTTTATCATTTAGCACAATATACTTGAGATTCATCCATACTGTTGGATGAATAAGTAGTTCATTCTCTAGTAGAACATGAGACTATTCATTTATTTATTCTTCTTTTGATAGACATTCAGTTGCTACAAGTCTTTCGGGACGTGTTGATTTTCCTCTGAAGTAAATGCCTAGGAATGGAATTGTTGGACCACATGTACTTAACTTTATTAGAGACCTCCAAATAGTTATCCAGCGTTGTTGGACCACTCTACCCTTGCATATGAGTTCCAGTTGCAACAAATCTTCATGAATGTTTAGTGTGTTCTGTTTTTTATTTTGTGTTTTTTTTTCAGTCATTCTAGCAGTATCTTTGTATAGTATTTTAATTTGTATTTATCTGATGACTAATGATGTTGAGTACCTTTTAACATGCTTATCAGCCATCAACGATCTTTTATAAAATATCTACTCATGACTTTTGCCAGTTTTGTATTGGATTGTATATCTTTTCTTGTTGATTTATAGCATGTCTTAAATATAATCTGTCTATGAAGACTTTAACACATATTTGTGTTACAAATGTTTTTCTCAGTCTATGATTTATGTGCTCATTTTCTTAACAGTGTATTTGAAATTTTCAATTCTGGTGAAATCCAATTTATCAACATTTTTTTTCTTTTAGGGCTCTTTGTGCCCTGTCCAAGCAGCCTTGCCAAGGCAGAAGTCACAAAGATATTTTCTTATCTTTTCTTGTAGAACAGCGATAGTCTGGATTTTATATTTAGGTCTAAGAAATATTGAAAAACCATTTCTTATCTGTGAGGTTAAAACTTGTTTTATATTTTACCACTATGGATATCCAATATTTCCAGGAAGAAAAGAAACACTGTTGAAAAGACTTTGGGTGCCTAATGAATTGACTAGATTAGAAGACAATTGACTCTAAATGTATGGGTCTAGTTTTGCATTCTCTATTCTGTTATATCTCATTAATACCTCAGTCATACCATTAAAAACTACAGTGTACATTCTAATTTGATGTGATAGGTTAAGAAACAATCCCAGAGCATTCTGGAGATGAACAAGCTTCCCCCATTCAAGGCTAGACCATAATAATTGGTAGCCATGTCCAACAAAATGAAGCTACAACAGCAGGAATGATTTGCAGTCAAGGGAACAATAGTGGCAAGCATATGTGAAAGAAAACAAGAGAAACTCTTAGAAAGAGCCAGAGGATATTAGAGGGAGGTATTGTTAATAATAAAACCAGCAAAGGGAGCATACTACCACAGTTCTGTTATTTATAGGGAAAAGGTTATAGAGAACCCTTTTCTGTCCTTGTTGTGGTGCAGGAAGGTTTATAACTGTAATCCCAAAGAAAAGTTATTGGAATTCTAAATGAGTTAATTCAAATCTACCACGTTCAGTGCAACCCACTGGGAGAAGAAAGACATTAAGATACATATACAGTTGGGAGCCAAGGAGTTTTAAGTCCAGCCAAGATGGTGGTTCATCAGAACAAAGGCCTCGCCCAAAGCCCAACCTAGGTTTTATTAATTCTCCATAACGGGAGTGCTTCAGGGATGAGTGACAGTAAAAGTGGTGAGAAATACATGACTGCCATAACTACTGTGAGCTGGGCTAGGTAGGACATCTGAGATCACCTCTGCAATAAACAGAGGGCAAGAAATGCAGAGAGAGCAGTCTGCATAACAAAACTGATAATTTGGGGTCGGTGCTTCAGTTCTGATGTACAATCCTTTTTGCCCTGGGAAGTCATAGCCTCATTCTCGAGGCTCAGTCCCAGCTAACAGCATGGAGCACAGCTGTCCATCTAGCCCTGGCTCAATCACACATTTGGGGAGTCACTGGATGGGGTAACACTGACCTGTGACTGCCTCACAGATTACACATCAGTTCCTCAGCCAGCCCAATTTACATTGCTTTAAAGCCAATTGAAGGGACAAACAATCCAGCCAGCTCTATACATATCAATACATGGAGATAGAACCAAGTTTATCCAAAACGAAGATAGTTGCTCTTGTCAAGGAGAATCATCTCTGTGGTTCCTCACAAAGGTAACTATTGTTGGCTACACTTTTATTTTTTATATTGC